TACACAGATCGGACTTATAGTGATCCTCCTGTTTTCAGACTCCTAAGTGCTGGGATTACAGGTGCGCACCACCATGCCCAGTCTCAATCACTCTCTCTGCGCGCCCTGGGGACAGGACCGACACAGCACACCAGGGATTGAACCCCAGTCCCTGCGTCTGCCTAAGCAGGCACTTTAGTTCATTGGGCTATCTGGCTGGCCCTTTGAGATATTTCTGAAATATTTTTGAAATCCTTAGGTTTCCCCTTCTCTTCTTCCCAGTTGTATTTTGTGAAAGAAACTGAGTTGCTATATTCCAGTGTTTCCCACAGCCTAGACATGGCCTCACAGTGTCATTTACTTAAATGTCAGTTGTGTCTGTCTCCACTGTTTCCTGTAAGCTGGTAGTTGCAGCTAGAGCTTGATCAGATTCAGATTTGGTTTTCTTTTTGGCAAGTCCATAAAGAAAGCAACAGCCGGGGCTGGTGAGATGGCTCAGTGGTCTAAAGCACCTACTTAGAACAAGCTTAGCAAAGCACAGGGACCGCGGTTCAATCCCCCAGCACCACATGCCAGCCAGTTCTGCCCCCTGGTGGGCTGAGCTGGCCACACACACACACACACACACACATAAATAAATAAATAAATAAGAAAGCAACAGCCAACAGTAGCATTGTGGACCTCCTAGTTAGTGACTTGCAAATTGACTTAGCTAACATTCATTGAATATTTACTATGTGCCCCGCCATGTGCTTGTGTTCTGTAGTCATTGTGTCACTTAATTTAAACCTCATAATACTGGTACAAACTAATTTCTAGTGAGAACTAGACCTCTTCTCAGAGCCAAATAATCTTAAATGTCTTTCAGACAAATCTCTTAGCATATATCCCATTGTCATTTGTTTGATTTAATGTGCTTATTTGAATTCTCCTTTTACTAGAGCTACCCCAAAGTGTTTTGCATTAAATGTCTTTTACATGTTTAATAAAGCTCAAAGACCTGGCATGTAACTATGAACTCGTTGTGCTCACGCTTTTGGGATTCACCATCTGTTAACCTCACAAAGACATATCTAAAGCTCAAACAGGGCCAAAAGAACCCAGTATTTCCTGAGTCTCTTTTTCCTTCCCACTCATTGTTCTCTGCAGGTGCACTTGCGGCGCTCTCCTCTCTCTGCCCTCTGCCTGCTCACAGTGTTCACAGTGTCCTACTGTTCCCCAGTGTGAGAACCCGGCTCGTGGTTGTAAACACAGAAGTAGCTTTTCATTGTTTGTGTACTCATCTTTAATTGATTCTGTTCAATTGCTTCCATAGTTCTCAGTATTACCGTTCATAGAATCAGATCATTGGCTTTCCAGACCTCTGAAATGATTGTCAAATTTATGTTGAACTGTCAATTTTGAAGATTAAACTGTTGGATATTGGTCGATAGACCAAGTTGCAATTAGATATCAAGGCCCGGGGAGCAAAACAATGCAAAGAGGATCCTATTGTATGGCTTTACAAATTAACATGCAAGGAATAATTTATTTATTTTTCCACCCTGGGACCAAGGCCAGAGGTGCTCTACCACTGAGCCACATTCCCAACACTGTTAGTTTTATTTTTTAAAATAAAAGTGTGTATCTGTATATGCAGAATAGTTTGAATAGATATACAGCTACTTTTGCTTAATTCAGTGAGAAGGAAGATTTGTACGAACAGTGTTTGGACAGGCTATCCTGTCTGCTTCTTGTACTATGGATAACCACAAAGAAGGTAACAATGTACAATGTATCAATTATTGAAAAAATAATAAATAGCTAATATTTATGTACCGATTTAAAAAAATAAAAAAGAAGAAAAAAATAAAATAAAAGTGGCTAAGTTGCCCAGACTGGACTTGAACTTGCAATCCTCCTACATCAGTCCTACATCAAACAGGAATTACAGGCATGGGCCACTGTGCCCAGTTGAGTACTGTAATTTATTCTTAATAGATCTTAATTATTCTCCAAATCACTTGGATGGCTGAACAGAAGGAACCTAAAACACTTGTGCATACAGTAGGGAAAGAACAATGACTATGGAATTGGATTTCTTATGCTGGTTTTCACCATGAGACATTAAACAAATAACCAGATTCTTTGTTCTTATTCCTTTTAAAAAAATTAACATGGTATTTAAAAGACAGTCTTTTGTAAGCTCCTAGTAAATGGATTCTGTCTCTCTTTACCTGATCTTACACTGTAGCATGGTACACATGCTTGTGCCTACTAAGTTGCTTTTGAGGATGGTGGCATTTGAGGGTTTATGCATCCTAAAGGATATTTTGTTCCATTTTTTCCTTGGCTGGACCAAGGAAGTTCCTTTTCTAAGACCAGGGCTGTTTGGTCTTGGTGAAAGTGCACTTTGTTCTAAAATTGCCATATGAAAACCTCGTGTATACTACATTATTCTAAGAAAGGGGAGAAATCTCAGGCTAGGATAGTAAATGCTGACTTGGTGCTGGATGACTGATTGTTCTGTGCTCGTTTACTCCCAGGCTCGCTTCTCGTATGTTCGGATGAAATATCTTTTCTTTTCCTGGTTGGTGGTTTTTGTTGGAAGCTGGATTATATATGTGCAGTATTCCACCTATACAGAACTGTGCAGAGGAAAGGACTGCAAGAAAATAATAGTAAGTATTTTTAATTTTCTGGTTTCCTGAAAAGCCACTTTTTAACACACTATATTTACTACTTAACTATTTATTGACAATTATTTTCAAAAATAGAAGTTAATTTCACATGAACATTGTGCTAGGCATCTTGGCTTTTTGATATAACTAAATTAAGATTATTCCTCACCTTGATATAGTATAGTACCCAAAATATAAATACTATATACTTCAAATAAGTTCATGTGGGCCGGGGAGATGGCTCAGTGGAATAAGCGCTTCCCTGGCAAGCGCAATGCCCTGAGTTCAATCCCCGGTTCCACAAAAAAAAAAAAAACAAATAAGTTCATGTGAGAGCATCCTCATTAAACAGAGAAATTTTGGTTTGCAGATATATTTGGACTTCAGTTTATTCTAATCAGATGATTTTTTAATGTTTAGAATATAAAAGTGTTATTGATATTTAAGTTTCCTAGGAAATATCTTTTGACTAAATATAGTAAAATTCTCAAATACTAAATTATATATTAAAAGCATATACTTATTATTCATTTTCTCTCCTATTGATTTCATATATATCAGGAAGAATATGCTATTAGTCAAAGAGTTTTAGCAATAATTGTTGGCACATATATATTTTAAATGTGTTAGTTTCAAGTAAATTTAAACTTCTTGTTTCTATCCACAGCTTTTAATATAAATATTAAAACAATTCTGAGATAAAGTATTTTATATTATGTATTTAGAATATATTCATTTTGTTTTGTTTGTTTGGTAGTGCTGGGCTCAACCCAAGACCCAGCATGCAAGGCTGTACCACTGAGCTATACCCCCAGCCCATAGAATTATGTGTACTTATGTATGTATATGTTTTTCTTTCTTTATTTGTTTGTTTTGGTTCTAGGTTTTGAACTCAGGACCTTATACATGTTAGGCAAGCACTCCACCACTGGACTACATATCTAGCCCTTTATTTTTTATTTTGAGATTAGGGTCTTGCTAAATGGCCTCAAACTTTCCATCTTCTTGCCTCACTCTCCTGAGAAGCTGAGGTTACAGGTGTGACATGGTACCTGGGTTAAAATTATACTTTTAATAGTGATTTGGGGATTCCAGTGATTGTAGATTATTAAAGATTCTATGTGTATTGAATGTGACTTTACCCAAGTCAGTTGGGGTAAGTATGTATATATATATCAAGGGAACAAGAACTCTTGACCTTATAGAATTTATAGTTGTGCATGGAGGAAAATAAGTGATTGCAATAAAAGAAATATTATGATAGGAAGTGGGAACATACAGGAAGACCTGAGGTTTCCCATAGTTCTAAGACAATAAAAACCAGTTTAATACTAGATGTCCCATCAATCAGGATTAAAAACAAAGACAAAATATTATTCAGGAATATTATAGTTTCTTAAATAGGGAATGGAAGAATCACTAATACAAGAAACAGGAATTAGTCAAAAGGGTCCCAAATCAAGATTTAAAGATATCAGTAATATGTCTATTTCAATTGGCCATTCCAATTTTTGTGTGTGTTTGTCTCTTTGAGATAGTGTCTAGCTATACAATTTAGGCTGGCCTTGAGCTCACTTTGTAGCCCACACTGGTATCACATTTGCAACGACACTCCTGCCTCAGCCTCCTGAGTGCTCAGATTATAGGCCTGCGCCACAACTCATGGCTGTATTCCAAATTCTTGAGGAATTTTAAGGTATGAGGAACCTCTGGGAACAGCTGCTGTGCTAGATACTTTACATGTTCCTTTAATACCTAAAATAATGCTATTGAAACCCCTCAAGCCCATTTTATAAATGTAGAAATATAACCCAGAAAAAGTGATAACGGCACCAGAATTTGGCCCAATTCTGTCTGTATGTAAAGTTCATATTCTTTTTGCTGTCCTATGTCAGAAGAGACTAACAGAGAAAGCTGTAATCCAATAAAGCTAACAAAAAAGCTATAAAACTTACCTGGTCACCTTTGGTGAAGAAGAAAGAAGCAAGAGTTACATAATAAATTATAATCACATGCAATTTACCAAAACTGTTTCAGTATTTATTCTCTTCCCAAAGAGTGCTTGCTCAGCTTGTACGAGGCCTTGGGTTAGAGCCCCAATAATGGGGGGAAAATCTATGGGTAGAATATTTTTCTGGCCAGACATATTTGAAAACAAAGAGCTAGATTTAAAAAAAAAAAATCTGACTTCCCTGGAGACTTCTCAATGTTGTTAATATGGTAATGTGTAATACATCTCTCCAAGAGAAACCAAATGTAGTTGAGTGGAAAAAATATCTCCCCACCTTCCCCCTTGCCAGGAAGACCTGTTAGCATCATCTGATGATTTTAGGAATATTATCCTAAGCTACAAAGCCAAAATTAAATAGATTCAATTGTAAGTATCTTGTATTGATATAAAAATGTAAGGCACATATTGGTACATATTCCATCATAAGTGAATTATAGTTGAAGTGCCTCATTTTTCACTTTAATTTAATTTCCTTTTAATTTATAAGAAATGGAAACAGAAACTAATTGTATAATTTGATTCTTGTCTTATTAAAACTTGAAAATAATGAAAAAGCTTTTTAGGTCTCAAAAAATACAGCGTTTTTCTAAGGCTGGCTTTAGAAACAATTGCAGCTACTCTGCATTTGAAGTATGTTTTGTAAACCTATCATAACCAGTAGTACGAAGGACAGTATGGTAAGATAACATATGCTTAGGAATCATGGGATTAGAATTAACCAGGAAAAAAGATATTTTTAAAATATATTTAAAGCTTCAAAGACCTAACATGATAGTGAGGAATAACGTGATCAAGATTTGGGAGATGATATTTGAGACCAGTGAGCTGTTCTTGTGGCCGCTTTTGCCTGGAGATGTATTCCCTGAAGTACACAGTTTCTGAAGATAGGGGAATAAAAATCTAGTGCGACTCTAATCAAAGGTGGGACACTTGGTGCGCAGTTCGCTTTGGCTGAATGCCAGGAATAAATGTGAACTAAAAGAATTTCAGACTGGTGAACTGAGATTTGTAACCTCCTTTACCCTGTATAAACCTGTTGACTTTGAGCATGGGCAAAAGGGTCAGAGAAATCCAGGTGTGGTGGTATGCCTGTAGTCCTAGAACTTGGGAGTGTGAGGCAGGAGGATCACCATGAGTTCAAGGCCAGCCTGGAGCTACATAGTGAGACTCTGTTTCTAAAAACAAAACAAAGTGTGTGTGTGTGTGTGTGTGTGTGTGTGTGTGTGTAGCAGATCTATAATCATGTACCACGTAGATTTTTCAGTCAATAACTGAACATACATATGATGACATATGCCATAAACCCCTCTGGTGAGCAGGTTGTATCATCTAGGTTTCCGTAAGTGCCTTCTATGATATTCGCACAATGAGGAAATCACCTACCCATTCGTTGCTCAGAAACATCCCAGTTATGAAGTAATGCTTAACTACATATGCCTCAGAGCTGTTGCTGAGGGCAAGAAACTGGCAGAGCCTTTGTAGAAAACTAGAGCTACCTCATGCATGGCCCCAGTTATCCCACTAGAGTGTCTCCTAATTTCTGGGGTCCAGGAAATAGGAGGCTAAAATTTCATTAAGAGGCAGAGCAGCTAGAAACATAGCTGAGTAACTTGCATGGCATGTGCAAAGCCTGGGGCTCAGTCCCCAGATGCTGGGATGGGGGGTGCGGGGAACAAAGAGAAGAAAAGAGAAAGGATGTGGAAGGTGGTCACTGTTTGGAAGGAGAGTCCCCTTCCATAAGAACCTCAGGAGTCTAGCTCTCAAGGTCCTTTGTCTCCTGGGGAGAATCTGTATCCCCCTCGAACCTGCTTCTGGCTCAGTAGATCTCAACCTTTTCAGAACTAAAAGCTGGCCTAAGGTTGGTTGTTTTTGCCTTTTATTTACACTGTTCTATAGTGTGACATGGCACTGTCATTAAGCAAATGAATGCAATGATTGGGTTTTTCTCTGTGAAATGAAAAACATTTCTCTACGTAGCATTGTCTAGTTTTTTAGGCTTTTCATTATTGCAGAAGAACTTGGCTTCATTGGCTACTGATACCCCCTCCTCTTCAGAAAACTCCTCAGCTGCCATCCCTGTTGCTAAGCCAGAAGTTGCTGAAGTTCCTCTATCGACAGTTTCTTAGTGTTCCTCTACCAGCTCCTCAACATCACCACTCTCTACCTGCAAGCCCATGGACTGTTACAATGACAGTGTTCTCAGCCACAGGGTCAGGTTCCTCTACACAGCCTTAAAAGTCTCCTGTATAATTTTAAGCCACATTCTCTTTCAGGCAGATCTCAGTGTCTTTAGAGAGACATTGGCCCAGGATTTCTCAGTTAACCCAACACAGGAAAGGACGTTGTAATGTTCCTTCCAGAACTCTTTAAATGTTAAATCTGTATCAGAGACCCTCTGGAAGCGCTTCAGGAGAAGTTTCTTGGTATATAACTTCTTTTTTATTTTTTAAAAATCCTTTATTTATTTGGTACAGTGACTGGCTACACAGCTCGAACTTGTAGTGATCCTCCTGTCTCAGCCTCCTCAGTGCTGGGACTACAGGTGTGTGCCACCATATCTAATTTTGGTGACCAGCACAGCACACCCAGGGTTCCAGGGCAGCACAACATGTGGTACCAGGGATCAAACCTGGGTCCTTTCACTTGACAGGCAGTTGCCTAGACCACTGAGCTATCCCCTCAGCTTTCTTCTTGGTATATAACTTCTTAAAGTTAGCTCTAACTTCCTGATCCATAGGCTGTAGCAGAGGAGCTGTATTAGGTGTGAGGGACTCAGCTGAGAACCATGGGGATTCTTCAGCCAAGTCTTACAAGTCTAGAGGGTGAGCAGTAAGGAGTATTGTCCCTGAGGAGAGCCTTGAATGGTATACCTTTGTCCTCTAGATCGATCAATCTTTCTTTCTTTCTTTCTTTCTTTCTTTCTTTCTTTCTTTCTTTCTTTCTTTTATTTCTTTCTAACATATTTAGTACAGGGTCTACAGGGTCTCAC